AAAATAACATCGAATATTATTATGAAAATTATTTGAATATTTTATGGAACTATTATGAAAATTGTACTAAATGTTTATTTTGAAAATATCGAATATTTATTTAAAAGTTGTGTATTGTTTAAATTTTGAAAATCACTCTAGTTTGACTATGATTTGGGCCCTAGCCAATGGGGGTTATTTATTGGCATAGAAATTAGTTTCTTTTGGGGCTTCACCACCGGCCTAGGTGTGGTTCTAGGCCTTGTCACGGGCTAAGTGACCATAGTCACCAAGACTTGAGTTTTGTGAATCGAATCATTGAACCATATGAATGCAGGGGTTAAGTGTCACAATTTGATGTGTAGGGGTTAAAGTGGGAATTGATGTAAAATGCAGGAGTGCAAAGTGTAATTTACACAAATATTTTGGGTAGTTAAATATTAATTAAAATAATTTTTGTTTTTTAAACAGAAACAAATTACAAGTTTTAAAAAATAGATCAAAAATCAAAATTTCAATCCCTTGAACAATTAGTTCTATTCTACCAATTTTTTCTACGTCCCCACTTTAACCTAATCCAGTGACGACTACCTTATAATTAAAAGAGAAAATGGCATGTACCATGTTACTCAAAACGTTATAAAGTCATGGCAAGACTTTTTCCAAAACCACAATTTCTATGGTCCACTCCACTTCACCGACAGAACATTAAAATTTATTTTTACAATTTTTTGTAAAATACTATTTGCACCTTCACAAAGATGTATGATGCGCTATTTTACTCGTTGTTGACGCCTTTGCCAAAATAAAAATTAGAATTAATTAAAAAAAATTCATTTATGTAGTTTGGTTTAAGTTTTATTTAATTTGTTCCTACACTTTAACCAATTCTTGGATATTGTAAAAGGCCTCAATTCGATGATTTTGGATTAATTACTCACTGGTATTGTTATAAGGACCAATACACCATTAAGTCTCACAAGTATTTGTATAAATTAAAAAGTTCTAGTAGTTGGATTTAATGATTTTTTGTAGCGATTTTATGAACCTGTTGTTAAAAACTGACAATTAGTGATGATTTTCTAAATCTATCACTAAAAACTAACACCTAGTGATGTTTTTCTGTGACAATTTTTTAAATCTATCACTAAAAAATGATAATTAGTAACTTTTTTGTAACGAATTTTTCAAATTGTTGCTAAAAACTAATTAGTGACGCTTTTTTTGTGAAAATGCCGCTAAAAAAATAAAAAATAAGATTTTGTGGTAATAATTAAAAGTGAACAGGATTTTTTGATACACCAAAATGTCAAGAAGACTTATTGGTACACTCATCTTCTAATAGGACTTTTTAGTCAATTTCGGGTAATTCTATTTTCACACACCAATTCTGTACACACACCCAAAAAAAAAAAAAAAATCTAATGCACATCTTTTTATTTCAATAATACCCTCATTTTCAATTTCAAAACCCTAATTTTTCTTCTATCCACCCACTACTTCACCACCATTGCAACCACTCTCCATAACCGCCACTGCCACCGCCACCACTCCCAGCTCATCCCCTTCCATCCTATACCTCCACAGTCAAGTGGGTGGTTCGCGGCAGGATGCTTGTGAGAGTGTGTGGTTCATAGCGGAAAGTGGTTACAGGTGGAGGGAAAAAGAGGTGATGGGAGGGGATGGTGGAAAAGAGAGGTAGCGGTGGTGATGGAGAATGGTTGTGGTGTTTCAGAATTAGAGTTTGGGTGGAAGAAAATAAGAGTATTATAGTATATTATTCTACAACAAAATTATATTAAGAAAAACTTTCATTAAGTGTGTAGAAATAGAATTACCCGTAAGTTCTCTTTAGATTTTTCACTTGGACTCTCCAAATGAGGAACTCAGGTGCCCCCGAATGGATGGACTGATTTTGGTAATAACTAGTTAAGAAGAGAGCTTCCAATATAAAGTATAGGCATAACAAATACAAATACAGACAAATATATTTGGAATAGGGAAATCTAATGTTTTCTTTCCCAGAAATTCAAGAACATATCCCGTCAACCCAATTAATTTGTCATAAAATGGCTCTGAATAAAGTTTGAATGGTAACCCACTAATTGATGTTCTCTTGTTTTACTTAAATCAGGAGAAATTTGTTAATAATTTTATGGTGTTATACGCAAATAACAATTTTCATAATTTAAAATCGTGAACTATTATGATTTTTACAAATAATAACGTGATGCTGAAAATAAATAACATACCGGATCAGTTATGCAAAACCTTCGAGTGATCCAAAATTGATTGAATACACTGCTGGAAAATTCACTTTTAGCGGCGTTTAAAAAATACACGCCGCTAAAAGTACGAAAAACGTCGCTAATTCTTTTTATGACGTTTAGTACCAAACGCCGATGATGCGGCCGTCGCTATAACTTTGTGACGTTTGAAAAACGTCGTTATATTAGTAAAAAACGCCGCCAAATGTCCAACTAACCGTAGTATGACATCACTATGACATTTAGCGACGTTTTTAAAAACGCCGTCATAGACATTTATACATTTTTAAAATCTAGCCGTTGAGGTGAGATATAGTGACGTTTTTTAAATGCTGCCATAGCCCTTTTTTTTAATTTTTAAATTTTGTTAATTTTACATGGTTGAACAAAAAAAATACCTGTCAAACTAATAATTGATGTTTATTAAAATAATAAACTAAACTTGAAAACAAAATTAAAAATTCCCTTTTTTTATTTCATAATTTAATTAATATAAAATATGCTGTTGAGCTGTTTATTTATTCACATTCCAATTTGTACAAAACCATAAAGCAAAATCTAGAACAAAGCAATAAATTGTATCAAAAGCATGAACAAAGCAATAAATAATTGTTGCAAATTATAATCTTTTTAAAGAAAATCTAGAACAAAGCAATAAATTGTATCAAAAGCATGAACAAAGCAATAAATAATTGTTGCAAATTATAATCTTTTTAAAGAAAATCTAGAACAAAGCAATAAATTGTATCAAAAGCATGAACAAAGCAATAAATAATTGTTGCAAATTATAATCTTTTTAAAGAAAATCTAGAACAAAGCAATAAATTGTATCAAAAGCATGAACAAAGCAATAAATAATTGTTGCAAATTATAATCTTTTTAAAGAAAATCTAGAACAAAGCAATAAATTGTATCAAAAGCATGAACAAAGCAATAAATAATTGTTGCAAATTATAATCTTTTCCGCTTATACTTGCTTTATCAGATTCAAAGTAAAGGTGAAACAGGAAGCTGGAGAAAAACCATTCCAAGGCGTTTGAAAACGTCTTTTGATTCCTGAAACGGCGCCGTTTCAATTATAGAAAAGAAGACGTTTATAAAATGCCATTAAATATTAGGAACAATGGCGTTTTAAGAAACACCGTTAAAAAAACGCCACCTAACCCCATATTTCCTGTAGTGAATGTAACAGTAACAAAACAGACAAGTACAAAACTGACGACTTACCAATGCCAACAATCTGTTATTATCTCTGCAACCATTGGATCAATCTTCTCTGTAATGTCAAGGTGTCTATTTTGAAATCCAACAGCTCCAACAACCGGCATTGAGTTCATCCCAGTCCATGGCACACGTAAAGTTGCCAACTCCCACAATATCACGCCAAAGCTGTACACATCGGACCTGCAAACCGGTCCGCAATTATTTTATCAGCAAGACTTGCATGAAACATTAAAAAATGAATTAAACTCTCTAGCATGGCTTTCAAGTCTAATACAAAAAATAAACCTACTTCTCATTGGATGGTTCATTTTTCAAAACCTCAGGGGCCATCCATTCCGCCTGTAGTTCAATGGCACAGCTTCAGTATAATTGATATAATATAACATTCTATAACATTCTATCCTGACATCAATTACCGTTCCAGCAGTAGATTTTGAAGACAGGAAAGTATTGTGCTTCATTCGTGATAAGCCAAAATCACAAACCTGTAGAGACAACAATAAATTAGAGAAGTTTCAGAAAAACATCCTTAAGCATGAAAAAGTCTAGATCTTAGTAAAAGAGACGAAGTCCATGGTGAGTCACGGCATTGTTAACTACGCATTTTCTAGATTACATTAAATACAACAACAATTGGATAATCAAGGAAGGAATGGGAGATTTCAAATGCCAAGTTCTAATTTCAGCAAACCTTAACAACCCAGTTTTTATCAACAAGAAGGTTTGGAGTCTTGAGATCTCGAAGCACAATAATAGGATGGCTTGTGTGCAAATAATTCATCCCCTTGGCCTGCAAGCAATTAGTAAACTTACTTAAACCAACCAAACTAGACAGCACAAACGGAAGGCAACACCATTCAACATTCTCCAACTCATACAACATCAAGAGCCATCCGCAGTCGCTTCTTTTCATCGAGTTGATTATTTGGTCGATGCAGCAGCTTGTATAAACTTCCCGTGCATACAAATAAACAGGGCTGAGAAACACCAAATTGAACAAACAAATAGTTAATTGAGGCTGAAATCAAATTCTATTTTCCTGCATGGACAATGATAAAATTAACTGAAATTTTTTTCAGGTGAAATATCTTCTTCTAAAAATCAACCCACAAAAAACTTAAATTAAAATAAATTATTTTCTTCTTCAGACATAAAAGCTTGGCAATATTTATACCCAGTTGTCATTTCTTATTATTATGTAAGAATGATAGTCTGAAACTATGTTACCATTAAAAATATGAAGGCAAACATTTGATGAAAACGGAACAAAAGCATCAATTCTTGAAACAATAAGTTCTAACAAGACTTTAAAGTAAACATCAACCTTGGAAGATACTCTGTCAGTATAGAAAGATTTGGTGGATGAGTGACTGCTCCCATGAAAAGAACAACATTAGGATGTCTCAACCTCAACATGATTTCAACCTGCACAAAGCAAACAAGCAGTAGCGTGCCCGGAGCACCCATTAGATCAATAATGTATTCACTGCATCAAATCAATAATCAGCCATATCATTACCAAGTGTTCTGTTCAAAACATTTAAAGCCATAACAATTCTTTCTGTAAGACACTGAAAACAAATTGAAGGAAAGATGAAAGATGAAAGAGCAAAAAACACACAGCATTCACCTTGAAGATCAACTCCATTTCTAAATAAAAATCCAGCTACTAAAGAACAACATATATCTGACAATAAATGACTTGACTGCATACACGCTGTTCTGAAAGAATTATAACAGTCCCACAGAGGAAATTGACAAATATATACTACCACTGTCCCATTTTTTTCTAAAATCAAGTGCAATTTTATGATTGGTCTAATTTACAATTTTATTGAGATTTGAGCTAAGGACTCTAAATTTTATGATTGGTCTGATTTACAATTTTATACTACAAGTATCAAGTAAATCAAGCATCTGAGTGACAATTTTATATTACAAGTATAAAGTAAATGAAGGTATTGTCAGTGAAATTTGTGCTGACTCTCAATTTTCTAATTGGTCTGAATGACAATTTTAGACTAGCTACTCTTTTCAAATTGATCTAATTATATTCTTCATATTCTTTGATGCTTGAAAAGGTGTTCAAAATTAATTTCCAAAAGGATCATGAAATGATATGTCCATACCACATTTTCTAAACCCTTAAATATGTTCAAAAGTTCAGACCAAAATCAGTGGAACATAAATATACTTGTGCCCAAGGCATAACATAGAGATATATGGTGAATTGTCCAAGCCACATCCACATAAGCAAGCAACGGAGCAAGAGAAGCATTATCTAGTGAAAATATTTTAAATGATGGAGAAACCTCCCTTCAGGTAGAAACACTCATGCAAAATACAATCACGTGACATGACCAACCAATAGTGCTTGGGATATAATCATTGACATAAACAAAGGTACACAACAATAATGTGATCAATTATTTATTAGAAACAGAATAATATAACGTACTTTAGTTTTTCTTTTTCTTTTTTTCCCTATAATTTGGAAGGTTTGGAAGGTGTTCAGTTCATGCTAATGAAAATAGCTAAGAAAAGAAAAAAGTGGGGTGCGGGATTTAATAACAAACAAACAGAAAAGTGGGGTCCAGTAGCTCTTTCTATACCAACATCTAATAAAGGTGATTGAATGGCATTCAATGCAACATCTCTTGCCCTAGTCTTGCCTGCAAAGGAATAAGAAACCAACAATTTATCAATATAGGCATGCATGTCAACTTCTTTCTTGTACCCAAAAAAAATTGGTCTACTTTCCTCATCTTCCTAATTTGATCATGCTATGAGAAAAAACCAGAAATTTCAGATATTAAACAGAAAAATAAAGTTAAAAGCAGGAAAAAAAAATATAGAAAACCAATAATTCCGAAAATATCATGCAAGTAAGAACTCAATCCTCCCTCCAGTTGCAGTTCCTATTCCCATTAGAGATGACCCTGCATTTTCCATGATAGCTCGCATATCTGCAAAGTCAACATTAACCAATCCTGGGACCTACAGTTGAAGTAACCTACCACCAATTAGAAAAATAAAACATTTTTAAAATGTAGAAGCTGACAAATGGGAAACCTTTGACAACAAAACCCTAACATTTGAAAAATATATGAACCCAAGACCATCCTTCAAAGTTATCAAGTACATATCCCACCACACAAGAAAATCATGAGAGTCAATGATTTTCTTTCATGATTAGCTAAAATACTAATACATTTAATGGTAACCTACAGAAATCAAATAAATTTCAAATACTCACAGACTAACTAGCAAAGAGACATAAACACAATGTAACAATGAGATGATGTAATAAATGTCTGTTACCTCCGTTTTCTATTATCATCTAGAGGCACTGAACTGCTCATTTCCTTTCCAACACGCTTGTCAGGCAGGGTTTGCTTATGTTCACTATCAGATGTGTCCTCGTTCCTAGAATCCTTGTTAATCAAGGCATACAACCTCTCTCCCAAGGAAGCCCTATTCGCATTGGTGGTAGACTTCCCAACTTTTGTTGCAGATCCACTCACTGTTCACAATGAAGAAGATCAAGAAGATCAAGAAAAGCGGCTAGAAACAAAAGGTGGAGAAGATCAAGAAGAGCTGCTTGAAACAAAAGAGCACTTACAAGCAATATATCAAAATACGGTTTGGAATAAGACCTTCCCAAGCCCTTTGTACGATGCGCTGATCCTCATCATCTTCAAAAGCAATCTTCCTGATCAAAAGCAAGCATCAACAGCTACAAAATAGTAGCTAAATTTATACAAGAAGATTTCATGATGACGTTCAAAAATAAAATAAAAAAACAGTAAAAGAAAACAGTAAAAGATAATGCTTTTGAGAAATGTATAACACAAATTAAGAATGTACATACAGAGGAATTTACACCCCACCACAGAAAAAATCAATGCTTACAAAATTTAAGCAATTGAGCAATTCCTGAGGATACTTTCAACATCATATGTTTAATTGGCTAATCAATATATGAAATCACTAGGTTTTGGAGTTACCATTTCCGGAACAGGACAAATTGCAAGGTTTGACTAAGATGTACTAGTTATCCCAAAAGTTCCGTAGTTGTGACATGTGCAAAAGAAGCTCGTCTCTGCCCAAACCAGTGTTACTGCTGGTCATTATGATAATGCTTTTGAGAAATGTATAACACAAATTAAGCATGTACATACAGAGGAATTTACACCCCACCAAAGAAAACAGTAAAAGATAATGCTTTTGAGAAATGTATAACACAAATTAAGCATGTACATACAGAGGAATTTACACCCCACCACAGAAAACAGTAAAAGATAATGCTTTTGAGAAATGTATACCATTGATAGTATTGCTAACAGAAAGAGGATCGGAAAGTAGCTAAAAATTAGATAAGAGCATACATTGTTCTGTCCAAGCCAATTAGCACAGTCAAGGTCGATCTTCTGAGGTGATACACTCGCATCAATTACAAGTAGGACGGCAACCAGAGTTTCTCTATTCAAGAAGTAGCCCTTGGTGAATGCGGACCAATCCATTCGAGCAGATTCTGGGGCATTAGCAAAGTTGTAAACAAAGTGAAATCTAATAAGATTTAGAGCTAACTTGCATGGCATCAACTCAACTGCAAGTATTCCATGATGCCACAAGGAGTCAATAAGTTAATTCAGAGGTGTTAATGGCAAAAAGGGGTAAAACTAGTTGCCCTTATCAGATCTTTGCCCCTCCCTTAAAACTTAAGCCATTGCTACTAAACTGACTAAAAATTATTCTAATTGCTGACCTGCAAAATTTACATAAGAAATCATACAAGATTACAAATTAAACAAAATTACACGAAATGAATATCATAAGATCATCATGTTTACAACTTATTAACTACTAAACTTGACAGTCCAAATAATGTAACAGTGTGCTGAAGCATCAATTTCTGTGTCCTCATCCACAAAATAAATTAACTCTGTTCCATTATAAACAGGGTATGATAGATTTCCAGAATATATATAAAGGTTTTCTATTTTCTATATTTTAAAAAAAAAACTAGTCACAAGATAAATGGTTATCGAACAGAACCCCAACAAGCGTATTTGCACACTTACCCTGGGAAGGACTGCACTAAGTAGGAGAACTACTAAATTTAACTGCGACTAAGCCACAGGCATAAAACTGATCTCATCTTTTACAAAATCAATCCCCTTTTGACTGTACAAGACTATAAAAACACGACAAACAGTCCAATTACATTTCCACTTGCAGATTGACCCATTAATTTGTGGTGGGTTGTAAATTTTGTCCCCCTTCTCTCTTTCCATTTTCTTCCCAAATCATGCTACATTCTTGTATAAGATGAAGGAACAAAACAGCAAAGAAAAACCAGTATAAAAACCTTAAGCCATGATTAACCACGTGAGCATCCCTCAGACCGTCTGCACAAAATTGATTGATCAACTGACAAAGTACAACCAGTTCTCAGATGCAAACAATGGGACAGCCATCAATCCCAATCAAAACTTAAAAGTTAAACTTCTAGCGCGTTTGGATAAAATAATTTCCAAAACTTATGGAAAACTGCTAAAGTCGATAATCTGAGAAAAAAGAGGATGCCATTTATTCCTCCCTAGATTCCAAGGCAGTAGCACTATCTAGGAGCAATTATTATCAATAAAGGAAGTTCTTCATCGGATAGTGTTTAACACTAAACTTACTAATAAGCCTCATATAAAGATATAGATGGATTGTTGATTGAGCCCTTATGGAAGTCAACACTTAAACAATGATTACATTTAAAACACAACTTTTTTTTTGATCGGCAATGAAGAATTTTATTGACTAGCAAAAACAAACTACAAAGAGAGGACAAGGAATCTGCTCCAAAAACCAACAGCCATTACATCAAAACAAAAACACCATTTAGATTTCAAAACACATTTATGTTGAAAATCTAAAGACTAGCAATCCTTAAATAGGCATGTGTGTAATCTCAAGGAATCATACGAGTACACACTTCTACACTAACCAAGCATTACACACTTCTACACTGTCAATTCTCTAATGTTGCCTCTTACTTTGTTGGAAAAATCTCATGTAAGTGATTCTATGACTGACTTTGATAAAGTCTATTTTGATTGAGAACATTTAATCTTATCTTAGACATAAAAAGCTCAAAAGTGGAAGTGAATTCATGATGTTAAATGCCATGACTATATATTTGTTTCAACTTTTAAAGGTTAATCAGATGAATAATCTCTCAATTATTATTGACTATTATTTTACTTTTTTAATTTTAAAATTGTGTATTTAAATCCTTTTAATTTTAAAATTGTGTATTTAAATCCTTTTAATTATAAAATTGTATCAGCAGCTGAAACAACAACAAACAACAAATACATAAATATACAAATCTTGGATATGTAGATATACATATATATATATATAGAAAGAGAGAGAGAGAGAGAGAGAGAGAGAGAGAGAGAACAGAAACATAAAACTTGACCATTGTTGTTGGTGAGATTTATAGAATTCAAGAAACAAAGGGGGAAAATCAAGAACACTACAACCTCTTCTTCAACACTTTCTTACACACACATACACAAACATATACAGAAGTTAATGGAAAGAGGTTTTTACTGAAAACGGAAGAATTCGAAGGAGCTTACCAATATATCTAATTCGAAACCCCCATATTTGGATCAGGCGTTCTTTGAAACCTTCAGATCTAACTTTAATTAGTTCAAAATCCTTCAGATCTCGTCTCTTGTTCTTTTCTTCAACGAGCACCACCACCGACATCCTCTTCCACCACTGGAGCTGTCGATCTGAGGCGATAATGAGAAGACAGCAGCGGCGGTGAGTGTGGATGAGATCGGTAGAGGAGAGAGAGAGAGAGAGATGAGTCTGGTGACAGAGAAGAGTGAAAATGAGCGAGAGAGAAAAAAAAATGAAATCAAAATCAAAATCACTGAGCTTGATACAGATAGGTTTACCTCTCAATAAATGAAATCGATTCTGAAGCTTGATGTAGATAGGTTTACCTCTCAGTGATTTCTATGTAAATGGAATAGGTCAACAAATTAAATCACCGAGATGATTCCAATCGATTCTGATTCTGAAATCACTCTGAAATTTAAGGGATCACCGAGCTGAAGCGAGAGAGTGAGCGAGAGATTTGAGGCATCTTCTTTCTAAGACTGAAGAGTAAAGAATGAGAGTCTCAAGAGGGAGGGAGAGCGAGTGAGAGATTACAACACATTCGGAGGCGTTTTCTATCAGCTAAACGGTGCCGTTTTGGTTAGCACAAAAGGCGACGTTTATAAAACGCCGTTGAATATTAAAAAAGACGACGTTTAAGAAAACGCCATTATTTAAACGCCGTTGAAACAAACATTTCCTGTAGTGATATAAACCTAATAACAATATTAGTGGAAAAAGATTTCTCTCTTGACCCTCTTTAGAATACATTAATTGATGGGTGATCTAAGTATACATTTATAGGTAGAGATAATGACTACATTAAATTTATTTTTACATTTTCCCTTGACACATATGATAACATACTCCCACAAAATATCTATCTTCTTCCCCTTCACTACAGTCTAATACTGCTCAACACTATCAGAAATCTAATACCGCTCAATACATATATTCATGTGGTCCTATATTTTCTGTGGCAATGATGATGGAAGAACTTGAAGAAGGATAAAAGGAAAGAATATTATTGAAAGAATTGAGACTTTATCGGTGGAACAAAACACTTCCTAAAACACCATTAATCCTGGTATCATGGGGTGTGATTTGCACAAATAAAAATCTTAGATTGTAGTTCATTACATATTGGGCTTTAGAGGATCTAGATGAGTCAACGTGCAAATTTAACAAGATCTTTCATTAAATTAAGCTGAAATACAACTCTTGTATAAGTTTCGTAAAAATTTCAAACCACAACCGCTTGTAAGATTTACTAGTGGAATTTGTACAATACTTGAGTTAGAATGGTGTGAATAGGGAATTTTACAAGGACTTCATGGCATGTTTTGACAGTTTCCTTCCCTTGTATGGCAATGTTTCTAGACTAAATCGAAATCCCAAAACTTATCAGTCCTAGAAAGAAAAGAAAAAAGAAAAGAAAAGAAGAACAAAAAAAGGAGAGAGAGAATACTTAAAAATTAAAACAATCAACTGTAATTTGTTTATAGTGTACTTACTTTACCTTGGTCCTGATAAAGCTGATGGAAATAAAGAACCAGGGCCGGCCCTAGCCTAAGGCCAATAAGGCCTGTGTCTTAGGTCCCAAAATTTTGTGTAAAAAATAGGACTCTCAAATTTAGTAAAATATTATAGTTCTAATGTTTTTTTTTTCTTTTAGGATCAATTTAAAGGGCCCAAAATATTTTATTGGGCCCATGTACGGTTTAGGCCATATTTATTTATAAGTGTAGTTTGGCCAATATTTATTAAAATGAAAATATATATATATATATATATATAAAAGTGTTTTGGTCCAAGAAAAACAATACATACAATATATGGACTAAGTGTTATACTCTCAGTGCTTTCGATTCAATCTCTCTCTCTCTCTCTCTCTCTCTCTCTCTCACACACACTCCTCCTCACTCTCTCTCACTCACTGTCACTCTCTCGTAGTATGTCCCCTCTCTCACTGTCAAATTTTATTAAATAAAGTTGCCATAATTTTTTTTTCTACATTCTACCTTCATCAGTTAGTGGAATAATAAATTTGTCCTAATTTTTTTTAACCTTTTGTATCTATTAGATTTTAGTAGAGTAAATCATTTTGCCCTAATTTTTTTACCTAGATCTTTATCAGTTTTAATTGAATAGTTTTTTCCTAATTTTGTTTCACTAAATTGTTTTGTTTATAATTTTAATGATTATATGTGCAAGTAAATTTTTTTGTGGCTACAAATGTAACGCTCCCAAATCACACAATAGATATAACTCAAAAGCATACATTGGTAATTACATACATCAATGTGAAAAGTCCTTTCATTACACAAAGTTAAGGATACAAAAGAGTTTAATATAAATAAATGCCCTATTAGCTTACACCTTTCCAAGTCTTAACTTGGCTACAACAAAAGTGAGCCTCGCTCTTTACATATTTAGCCCTAGGCTATACAAAATAAACAAAACATGAAACTCTTGCTTCCCAAAGGCCCCTCCAATGCTATTGCCTTGATGGAGGCATACCATCATTACTTGAAAATGTTATTCCCAAATAGGGTGAGTCACAGCCTAATAGAAATTATTTAACACAGTATATGAAACTTAGCAAAGGTATAAGTACAAATGCATAGACAATGCGTGTGATAAAACTTTCTACAATTCTATATATATCCACAAGATATCAATTTCAAGCCTTAATGCATTTATTTTCGATCCACATTCCGATTACTTATTTTTCTCAATTCATGAGTCAATTTTCAATATTTCACAACAACTGAACCGGGACTACAACTCAATTATTTTCAATTTATACAACTCATATGCATAAAAACTTCAAATTTTCATTTCACGGATATTTTGTCCGTGGGCAGCCGTCAAACGGGACCCATGTAAACGTAGGCTATACAAGCACTACAGTTGCCATTTTACGGATATTTCGTCCGTAGGCTAGGCACCCATGTATAATTTCAGAACTTTCACCTAGGATACTCCGGCCAATTTAATTATAATAGAGTCCAACCCCTTTCTCCTCCCAAACAAATATCCATACATATGCAACATATTTAAACAAATAATCAAACGTAAAGCACATCACCTTTCCACTTCCAAACAAACATACATATATGATGTATATAAACACGGTCATATACATTGACAACCATCACAAGATTAGTTTCAATTCACCTAATCCATATGCAATTTCTACAACAATCAAAGCTATCCTCCACTGATAGCCCAACACAGTTATCTCTAGACAGATATTAGATCTCAACATATAGTTTATTCAAAACTTCTAAGAGATTTAGTTAACACATGACTAATCTCGCCATTCATATCAATACCCCTTTCAATTTCACATTTTCAATGTCAATTTCAGATATTTTATCAAATGTTCATGATAGTCATTTTAGGGCAAAATTCTCCCTTTTCAAATATCAACCCAAATGCTACTCTCAATCATTTTAACCCAACTTAATCTTATTTTCACAACCTACATCCACTTATTTCATAATCGACAACTATCCTTCTTTCCATATCATACCCAAACCCTAGGTTTGCTCACAACACCTCCAATCACATCATTGTTACACAAGATACCAATAACTAAGTTAAATAACATATGATGGTGTAGAAGAAATTCCTACCTCAAAGGAAGAAGATGAGTCCAACAAGAGAGAAACTCCAAAAACGACGAAACACACTTTCAATTGGATCAAAATGAAGATTTTGACGAGCTCTACCTTTTTCTCGAAGGCACTAGGGTGGAAATCCCAATGGATCTAGATGAAATCTAAGAGAGAAGGTAAAATGTAGAGAGAGAAACTTAAGAACAAGCTTTTTGGAAAGTTTTAGAGAGAGAGAGAGAGAGAAAAGAAAAAGTGATTCAAAATGTCATCTTTTCAGACTAAAATACACGCAGTCCGCTCGAGCGTGGAAAGCCCCACTCGAGCGTTAGACACAAGGTTTCACTCGAGCGTGAAAAGTGATGCTCGAATGTGAAATGCACAATTCCAGAAGTTTTGCAGACGAAGGTCCCTGCTCGAGCGTGGGACTAGACGCTCGAGCGTCCAGTGCCCTCTGTAAAAGTACTGAGGGTCGACAAATCCCGCTCAAGCGCAAGAATGGTCGCTCGAGCGGAGGAGCAAATTTGTGAAGCTTGCTCGAGTGTGAGAATGCCCGCTCGAGTGGAAAGGTCAAAATCTGGGCAACACAGGTTTTGAAGTACGAGTAACCAACCTGTCTCAAACACACAACTACAACCCGATCACTGTTACAACTTGGCTTTGGTCCTTGTCAATTAGTTTTGACAATCCAAAATCAGCAATTTTCACATTGAAGTATTCATCTAAGAGAACGTTTTGGGGTTTGATATCCAAGTGAAGTATTTTTTGCCTACAATCCTCATGGAGATAGTTTAGTCCATTGGCTATATCCATGATGATCTTCTTTCTGGATTGCCACCCAAGAGTGAGCTCCTGGTGCCTATGGAAGATCCATGTATCCAAGCATTCATTGGACATGTACTCGTAAACTAGAAGCTTATATGATTTTTGAGCACAAAATCCAATTAATCTCACCAAGTTGACATGGTGAGTGCTGCCTATTGGCTCTACTTCAACTAAGAATGACTTCTTAACTTGACCAAAACCATTGAGATGCTTCACCGCGATTTTGGTGCCATCACTTAATGTCTCTTGAAACACTAACCCAAATCCTCCTTTGCCAAGCTTATTATTGAAATTGCTTGTCATAACACTCAATTCTTCGTTAGATAATCTAACAGGCATCCTTGGTACTTGATCAACGAAGAACTCATCAAGTTCCTTGAATTCTCGCTTATTTCTAAAAAGAAAAAAGCAGCAGGCAACCACAAAAAATACACCAAAGAAAGCTCCGAGACTAGATCCCAATATAATTTTGACATGCCTTGATTGCTGTTGAGGAGAATATGTTGGTGAAGGAGTAGGATACTCTCCAGTTGGAGACTTCTGCACTTCAAGAAACACGGTGATGTTATCAAACCCCCCGTCATTATTGATAATAGAAAAGACTTCAAACAATAATAAGCAACCAGTCTTTCAATTATAGCCTAAATCATTTTTAAACAAAGCAACTTTGCATGAACAGTTTTTCAAGCAACTCGTCTTGCAATCCTCTAATGCTATTTTTTCATCCAAGTAAAAGATTTTGGATGCGTATGTATGTAAAAAGTTGAAGTAAAAGTAACTAGCATTGTTAAGCTCCAAAAGGGTGTGAGATTGAGAATTGTTACAAGAAATGGGTGTAACAAGGGAACACCCAAGGCTGGGTTGCTTATAATTTATTTGCCCGGTGGCTTCCTCAAGAGTAACTAGTATCGTTAAGCTCCATAATTGCCACACGCCATGGGATACCAACACTCACCCATGCTTAATGTCAGCAGATCAGCCACTGCATTCCAATTCCATTCTGTCCACTCATAAGCCTTCAAATGCCCATCAGGATCCAACCTTATGAACTGAGATGACGATGATGATGCAGCAGGGATTAGCTCCCATTCAAGCTTGCATTCTTGAATTTGACATATGTCACATTTGAATGTGATTCAGAATAGGGCAAGGGTGGATTAGAATCTACATAAGCCACCAGACTGTTATCCTCTTGAAACTTAAGAGAAAACAAACCAGTAGTCCAGTTCGATGCAGATGTGCTGGAGGTGAGCTTCCAGTCAGGAAACAAAGTCTGGCCAACAAGTAAGGAGTCAGTTGGGTGATCAAATGACTGCCAATCCGTTGCATTGTTTCTGTCGAAGAGGACCAGGTTTCCCAATTCGGTGAAATTCAAGCCGAAGACCAACTTTCCAGAGGTATTGGTAGACCATACGAAAGTGTCATCAGAGTCGTGCAATATCAAATCTCCATCTTGAGTGAGTTGTAAGGTGGCCTTAATTTGAACAGGACGGTTCCAATTAGCTGACCAAACCAGTTGTGGGTTCATTGTAACGGACTTGTATGCTCTTTTACCTTGTAAGATTACAACACCGAAGAGGCATGATGATAGCTGAGTTTGTTGAGTAAAAGGGCAATAGAAGCCACAGATCATTTGTGAGCCATTGGATGATGATGTTTCCAGGACGGGGTTGAGAATTAAAGTGGAAAAAACGTTGAAACTATTGTCAATTGAGGGTTTGTTGATCCAAATAGTAGGTAAGTTTGCCATTGGAGGTGCAAATTGGGCATTGTCTGAAGAATGGTACAGACGCTGTGAAAAAGATGATAACAGCACCAAAATGATAACAAATAGTGCAAGATAGACCCATTGGTGGTGCCATGCTGGTTGTGGTCTATGTCTATGTCTATGTTTATCCAATTCCAATAAAGCTCTGTTTCTTCCAGTTTTTGTTTTTCTTTTTCTTTTGGGAAAGCAATGGTGATGGTGGTGGTCCTTTAAAGGTTGTTTGATTCCACTCTAAAAATCACGGACACATTTTCTTCAAGACAAAAATTAAATATATCTTATAGCCGTTGGATGCCTTGCTTTTAATCTTGACCGTTGATTTCCATATTATAATATTTAAAGTAAATTTTTGGTGATGAAAATTCAATTGATATAGCGTCGGTCCAATTGATATAGATTGAGTTCAAATATAAAATTAATATAAACCACAAATTATTGAGCAAGGATCCTCTAAAGTGATTTTTTCCTAAAGTTTCTTAGAGTGCTATATTGTGTGGTTGAGATTTACTGACAAGTCACATTTTTCTGATGTGACTTGTCAGTAAATCTCAACCACACAATATAGCACTCTAGAAAACTTTAAGGAAATTTCACTCTAGAGGATCCTTGGTGCAAATTATTATTTTTGAATTAAATTCTAAATATAATTGTTAAAATCATTTACAACAATTATTGCAAGTCTTTAACATGTTGTTTACGTTCCCACTCCTTTAGTTATGTCAACAAACCGCACACATTTTGTTGACTAATATTACATGCACAAAAAAATCCAACTTCGATCTTCCTGATTGTAAGTTTGTAATGAAATATTTTTATTATGTCTCAAATTTCATTTAAAAAATTGGTATTAATTTGACTAGAGGGGGACTTCATTTCTATTCATCGCTTCTTATACCAGTGATCAATTTATGTGATTTTGAAACAAAGTGAACTAATTTTACTGATTTAAAGTGTTAATTGTTAAAAATAATAACTAAAGTGACACAAAGGTCACAAATTTTTATAAGGATATTTGGGGGCTTAAAATCTAGGCGAACTATTTTTCTGTTGGAACTCTTCATGGAGATAGAGCAATCTCTTGTTTCCTGTTAATTATCTACCATTACACAAACATTCATAAACTAATTGTCAGCGATTTGTAGGCACAACATCTGACCAATATTACCAAGTTTAGATGGTGAATTGAATACGAAAGACTCTTGACACGGTCTAAGCCATCAAGATGCTTCACTGCAACCAATGCTTAGAAGAGTCCCTTCAAAGACCAATCTGTATCGTCCATGCCAAAGTTTCCTTTTGAAATTATCAGTATTGACTTTGAGCTCATAGTAAGAGAATCAAATGTACATTCCAAGAACTTGATCTTTGTAATGGACAGTTTGGCCATTGAATGCTCACCACAAAAATGTGCAGAATCGATGTAAAATGTGATAGCAAGAAAAATAGTGAAACACAGATTCTGGGAAAGCAAAGGGAAAAACAAGGCAAGTGAAAGTGAATGTTTTGTTCAATGTGTCACTCTTTTTGTGTTCCCAATCAAACTCAAGGTGAGAAGGAAAAAAAAGAAAAAAAAAGGCACATTCTGCAGACTAAGAGATGTACAAAATGTTTTCTTTCCAAGCAATTCAAGAACATATTTCATCAATTAAATTAATTGTAGTCATAAAATGGCTCTGAATTTCTCCAAACTATAAGCCGGTTTTTTTCCGTCTTACACATCTTTTGGAAAGAAAGTTTGAAAAACCCACTAATTGATGTTCTCTTGTTTTACTTGAATCGTTACTTGAACCATGGGAAACTCACATTGTCTCTCACGAAATATCGATACTTTTCCCTTTTACTACAGAACTTGAGAATGTTTGAATTAAAACTACGGGAAATCTACTCTTGTTCACTACATTCATGTGGTTCTATATGTTCTATGGCAATGATGATGGAAGAACTTGAAGAAAGATAAAAAGGAAGAATATCATTGACAGAGTCAAAATTTTATCAGTGGAAGAAGACATACCTAAAACACCATTAATCCTGGTATCATGGGGTGTGATTTGCACAAATAAAACTCTTCAATTATAGTTCACCACATATTTAGGCTTTAGAAGACCTGGGTGTGTGAACATGGAATTGTACAATACATGTTTCCACAGCTTTCTTCCCTTGTATAGTGATGCTTAATTTTATAGTAAATTGAAATCCTAAAACTTATTAGACCAAAAAAAAAAAAAAAAACAAAAGGAGAGAAAGAAATACTCAATACTTTAAACAGTCAACTGTAATTTGTTTGTTGAATTCTACTTGCTTTATCTTGGTCCTGATAAAACCGATGGAAATAATGGACTAGCAGCAGCACCAATGGCATCTTCTTGGTGACCATCAGCTCTTATTGCTCTTCGTACCACAAGAGTTGTGAAGTTATAATCCAAATTGTTTTCAACTTCTACAGAACCCTCAAAGACCTTAATCACCACTGACATTGAAGGCCTTCTGGAAAAATCACTTTGTAGACACCACACAGCAACCCTCATCATCTCCACAACTTCTTCTCGATGTATCTGCATGTCATCATTGTATTTATCAACGATATCCAGAAGGTGTTCCTCTTCTGCTTTCCTCTTAAATAAATCTAGTAAATGCATATCTTCCTCAGGTTGAGACCTATCCAAATTTTTGCGCCCACACAACATTTCTAAGACCACGACACCAAAGCTATAAACATCTACTTTCTCAGAGATAATTGAGTTCAACCATTCGGGAGCCAAATAGCCTGGGGTTCCCCTCATTATTGTTTCAACCTGACTTTGGTCCTTATCAATTAGTTTTGACAATCCAAAATCAGAAATTTTCGCATTGAAGTGTTCATCTAAGAGAATGTTTTGGGGTTTGATATCCAAGTGAAAACATAGTATAAACTGAAGGAAGCTCTACAAGTTCCTTCACTACAACTTCACAAACAAATCAACAATAATTCCAACATACCTGAAGGAAACTTTACAAACAACAATCAACAAACTCAATGAAGCTACTTTCGGTCTTATTCGAAGAGTTGATTCATAATCAATTGACTTGTTTTTCACCTTTTGCTTTGTTGTGCTTTGAAGAATTGTATATAGTTTTGCAGCAAGTCAAGATTTTGATTGAAGGTTGTTCCAGCAGAAGCAAGATGGGGCTTCTCATGCAAACCGAATCGATTTCCAATACTGTTCACGAACTTACAATTGATTTATCGACTTTGCTAGATATTTTTCCTGCGAAAGATGTGAATTTGAATGAAGATGTTGAAGAATTGGTTTCTCTTATCAGAAAACAGTATTCGATGATGAAGACAATTTTAGATCCTTCTGATGATAATCTCATAATTGAAGTATTGAAAATGCTCGAAGGGGTTCCCAAATAAGATCTTCCCAATGGACATCTCAAGCTTCGCCAAAATCAACGCAAGTCATTAGCTACTTGACATGAACACCTTCCTCGGGAATTTCCTCTATCTCATTTCTGTCTTTCTCTCTGTTAGGTATATATGGAACGGCAAGATTGTCCAAAAAGAAATAAAAAAAAAATGTTTCTGTGTCCTCCATCAAGTATGGGCCTCTAGGTGAGGGAGTTTATGAAGGAAAAATTTATGGACTGTCTTTTTCACCAAAGAAGGACCCAATAGAGGGGGTTTTACCAAATTTCCCCTCCCAAAAAAAAAAAAAAATGAGTGAAAATGTGACACCACATAATCTTGACGACATGACGTACCCTATCTAAAATAGGCTTCCAGGTATATTATTGAATACCGTTAAAAAGAAAAGTGAAGATGTCTTTTACACATCAACTAAAGGTTCTAAATATTTTGCAAAATTGCATGAATCTTGAGAAAGAAATTTATCAAGTCACAAAATATAGTACACCTTGGCTTTTCAAGATCACTTTAATATTTG